GACTCATATTCGTGTATAAAGGAAGAATGGTCAGCAATTTAACTATAGTCTATTGTGGAGAGGCAAACTTCCAGAATCCCTGGCCTCGTACTATGAAAAGCGATTTCCTATGACACTTTGTCCACTGTTGTAACGATAGAGAAGCCTTAACACTGCAGCGATAAATTCAAGCGATCTAGCAAATACCTGTTTTGTTGCCTTTGTGAAATGTTGCGAGGGGCGACTTTCCAACCAGATAATGCTCGACCATATACTGCTCGTGTTTCCTAAGAATGTTTTGGTCATGTTTATACTTTTTTGTTCGGCATTCTCTTCGGAGCTTTCCCCGATTGAAAGCGAGTGGGATATCTCGGACGTCAGTTGAAGGCATGAAACCTTCAACGTCTTGAGCAGCAGTTGCAACAGGCTTGGAAAATCTACAACATCCAAGCCTTATTCGATTCCATGCCAAGCCGTATTTCCTCCAGTATTGTAACCAGATATGACTACTATTGATACATACTGATCTGTATAATCCTTTCGAAATATGAGTTTGTCTGCTTTGAAATTATTATCAATTATATATCTTTCCAGATTATTCATGTAATATTTCATAATGATAAGATATTTTAGGATGCTTCAATTTTTTTGACCTCATATACAGGTGACCCCCGTATAACACGGCACTTCTATAGCACGGATTCGCTCTAACACGGTTCGAGAATTGGTACCATCCCCCGTATAACACGGTACTTTTATAGCACGGATTCACTCTGACACGGTTCGAGAATTGGGTAAAACCCTCGTACAACAGGAAATGTAATAAATTTTTACATACTTAAGTAATAATAGTTCACGAAAATTATTATTTTCGTGAACTATTAGTACTTAAGTATGTAAATTTTCTCTTCTCGCCTTCTGTCGATACACGTGGTCCTTCTCGAAACTTGTTTCAATGTTGCCAGATCGCGACGCTTCTGCTTCTGATGTTGCCGAATGTTTTTCCCTTATTCCATACTTGCTTTATTCTTCATAAGTGCTTAGCACCATATAAGGAAATTTATAAAGACCTTTTAACTAGAAGCAAGCAATCTAAAATTACATACATTTTGCAAAAGGTAAAGCATGGATCTGAAGATAATGCAGAAAAATGCTCAGAGGATAAGGATAACTTGCCAAAAAGAAAACGCTCTCGGTTAATTAATAGTGTTTTTAGTGATGACGAAGAAAACATTGTTTAATTTATATTAATATGTATCACTTAAAAAAATTTTATAAACATATTTATCTTAATTATGAAAATATACTAGCATGTTTTTTAATTTTTGGAACCTAACCCTCCTTTTCGTATTAGTTCTTTGTTTCGTATAACACGGATTCGCATAACACGGCAATTTTTTGGAACGTAACTACCGTGTTATACGGGGTTACGTTCCAAAAACTTTGTTACTTATAGTTACTTTGTTACTTATAGTTATTTTAATGCTTATATATATTTTTGTTCATAGAATAAGGTGTTTTGTTTCAAATTTTATTACACTTTTTGATAATCCGCTTTTCAATTATCCGGCATATCGCCCGTATGATCGTTTATGCGCTTCCATTTACATGAAAATTGTTAATTTCACAAATTCTGTTTTTCTGTTTACAGCACTGCATGTCAGCATTGTTGTACACAGAACTGTATATTTGCTCGCCTGCCTCTAAAGAGAATCTATTGCCAATGCACAGTACTGTACTGTGTCGAATTACTGTGTGCTTGTATAGTACGTACACGCACACAGTAATTCGACACGTTCGCTAATCTGGCACAACTCTATGCAAGGAACGGCGTTGTGAGATGTACTGTAATGTACTGTATATTAGCAACTTTTAAGGTGCCACGTAAATTTTTCTTGCATCATTTTTGGATCGCTATAACAATGGAATGTCATATAATTTCTTTTGAGAATTTTGTAATAAACCAGTTTGCATGTTACGTAAACTCTTCTAGCCTCCAGCTTTAGACGAGCAAAGCATGAGATGTAGATGCAAGAACATGTAGATGTACTGTACGGTACCTTCTTATTTTAAACCAGTGCTGATTTTACTATTAAAATCAGTTTTACTCTGATTTGAAACCGGCGTAAAGCAAGTGTCAGAATATCTGATATTTATACAATAACATATTATTAGATAAAATATGTTAAGTTTTAAAAAAATATGAATATTTAATAAGCTATTTGTATTAAAATTATTTATTGAAAAACAAGTCATTTGACAAGTTTATAAACGTGATTTGCCTTTTAAATATGCTATAAAGAATACGGTATTTTCTCTATGCAGTTGAGATGAGTGAAAATGATGTAGGCCTATATGTATCTGACAAAAAGGTCTCGAAAATGTTTTTAATTCATACTCTTTTTTTAAATACAGTATTTTCTGAAGATATTGTAGATAGAAGATCTTATATTATAGAAAAATTTCTCTTTTGTAAAAATTACAGTGAATCTAATATATATATTTAGCCTATATTTTAGTTTCATTTCATTATTTTTCAGGCTGTAATATAACAGAGGGAAAGTATGGTGGTCATAAATTACCCCCGAGATTTTTGGGCTCGGACCTTGAAACGTCGAGAAATTCCAAAAAAAGTCGGGGGTAATTTCTGTGTGTGGTGGGCACGATTTTGTTCATTCTCTCCTGTACTTTTTGTCGAAAATTTATGAAATTTTGCAGGGAGGTTTGTTTATTGTGGAAATTGATGCTATTAAATTTTGTTGATTAAAGGTCGACGGGCTGGGGAGATAATTGGGCGTGAGTGTATCCAGTAGGGTCACACTTAATGGCGATTTTACTCGTTATTAGCATTTACAGTTTTTTTTTATAAAGCTCGTCTCTGCCCTCAAAATTAAGCTTTTTGTCATTTTATAATAGTTAAAAATATAACAAGCTTTTAAATAAAATATCATAACTTACGGCGCTGCCAAATTGCCGGGAAAGTTAAGCAACTCGTTGCTGGATTTTTTCATATAGGGAATTCGTAAAGAATAATAAAAGTTAAAAAGACTTGCAAATCGGCTTTCATGTAATTTTACTAAATAGGATGAAAGACATGCAAATTTCGTATACCCGTAAACAGCAGTGTGAAAATTTGCAACATGATAGTTATGATCAACATGAAGATGTGCCTCATTACTTCGGGCGATTATTTCACGCTCAGTTGGATCTCACGTATAAGGTCCAGTGAACGGTCTGAAAAGGAACCATTTAATAGCCGTCTCAATCATGAAATTTGGTTCCTCTGTTTATTCCTAGGGGCAGATGTAAAATGAATGATATATACTCATCGAGTGTCTGAATGAAATGACGATACGCCAACTGATCACCGAAGCATATAACGTGATACGGTCTGACTCTTCCGTTTTAGCATCTGTCTGAACATCTGTGCTCGATCAGGCAGAACTCTTATCCTACAAAATAGCTCCTACTTAAAATATCAATGATCGCTGACACCTTGCAGTTGTTGGAAGTCGCACTATAATTTGAAAATTAATAACAAATTATGAACACGTTTCATTTAAAAATATGAAAGAGTAATATTAAACAATATAATGAAGCTCGATACATTAATAATTTAACATATGATACAATGGAATAAATATTAATTAACTTATTTCAAAAGTTTGCAATTTGCATGAAAGTGCATGCAACGCCTTACATTTTAATTGGTAGAGCATTTGGCTCTACAAGCATTTGTTATCATTTCTGTATGTGAAAATGGAATCTGGAAGGCAATTAACTCGCGCAAAAAAAGGTCCAAATTGACACACTTTGGAAAGAAGGAAACACACAAAAGGATAACTGCTAACATCTTAAGATCAGAATGTGTAATAAGTAAATACTTAAAACGAATTAGATAAGATAGAACCATTAAAAACCCCCAAGGAAACATTCTGGTCGACCCGAAATTACTGCTACTGGTGATATTGTATTACTTAAACAAATTTTACGTATCAATAGATTTGTTTCGGCATCAAATTTAGGTCTAGTGATATTGATAAGAATGAAGAATGTGTCTACTACAACCACATGACAAAGACTAGCAGAATTAGGCTACAGATCACGAGTTCCTAAATAAAAGCTACTTTTAATTAAAAAAAAACAACGAAAATGCCGCAAAAGGACATTTGCAGTGGTGAATAGATGATTGAAAATCTGTGATATGGAGTGACGAAAGTGCTTTTTGTTTTGTGATAAAGGATTACGTATTTACATCGAAAAGGTGAGGAATTTAAACTAGAATGTGTTAGAAAATCGGTGACGTTTTCATCTAAGGTCATGGTATGGGGATGCATGTCTACCAATGGAGTTGTTGAGCTTTGTGTTCTGAAAAACACTGTGTATATTGATATGATGGAGACTTTTTAATTTCAAGTTTTGAAGAGTTACGTCCTGATGATAAATTTATTTATCAGTAGGATAATGCGCTTGCACATAAAGCTAAGCTTTTGCTAAACTGGTTGAAGGAGACACAAATTCCTCTTCTACAGTGGCTTCCAAATTCACCCGATTTATCTCCAATGGAGTTTAATATTCCAAATGTTTTCTATTGAACATTTGGAAAACACGATTAGAGGAAGAAAAAAACAAGCTATGCGAATGGATTAATTGCTTAATTACTTTAATAGAAAACCATTCCAAAATTTTGAAATAAGTTAATGTGTTACAATTGTAATAATTTTACATAAAATAATTAATGTACTGATCAATACAGTATTTAATAGTGTATGATAAACAGTACTTAATCACCAAATATACACGTTAAGGTTGTGTTAACTGTATTTAATTTCTTCATAGCTCTTTATTACAATATAAACAAATTGTAAAAAAAATTGTGCTTCTTTTATAATTTCAAAATTAGAAAATATGAAAAATGACAAATTTTATTAATGAATTTTCTTTTTGTATTGTTATTATAAATATAAATATAAACTTGCGTGTTAATACAAATTCTGAAGCTAATTTTCTATTCGTTTCAGGTTTCTCTATATATTTCGGTTACGGAATAGTTTACAGTTTAGAACGTGAAACAAAATACAGTATACCACCCGAACAAATTATCATCAACGGCGAAGGACTAGAGGATGATCCTTTGTTAAAAAGTTAATACTATTAAAACGTTAGAGTTTGTACAAAGACTTTGTGCATTATTATTCTTCCGAGATGTTCTAATTTTATAAATTATTTACAAATTAAAATTTACCAAACTATACGAAGAAACTATTTCGATATTAAATGTATCTTTTTATAGAAGAAGAAAAAAAAGAAATGATACGAAATGACTGTGATATTTAACAAAATGTGTACAGACGTTTAACTTTGTATTAATAGAAAAAAAATATATATATTTTGAATGTAAAAAAGATGCGTTACAATTGTGGCCAGTAAATTTTAAAATAATTGTAATGTTTGAAAGACGAATAAATTAATTTCATTTAATTTTGAATCTGTTTTATTCTATTTTATTGAATAATTGTTTACCGAGGATGTTTCGAATAATTTTCAATCGTCAAATAAAATATTAATATATAGATTCTTCGAAATATTTTGAATGTTTTCGAAGAATAATGTTTTTTTTTTTTTTTCAGCCATCATCTTTGTATCTTTTATCATCAATATTATGGTGAAAAAGTAGGGAGGGAGGAAATACCACCGATGTTCTAGTCATTTATCATACCGATATACAGATTTTCACTATGTTTTGTAGAATTTTTCTACTTTTATCTTAGTTGATCGGTCAATCACATTCAGATCAGTCATGATATAGATTATGCTATTTCTAACCAAAAAAAAATAGATATTTTTAGGAACAGTTTTAACTATATTAAAGAATAGTCAACAAGATTACTTTTAACTTTAATTATTGACGCGATATATTTAAAAAGATCGAAATAGAAAATATAGATTTTGCCATTAATAATACTTATTTATCACTTAATTTATTTAGAAAGTAAATAAACTATTAAGTAACTAAGATCGATAAAATTTCTAAAACAGTGTAGTCTATTATATAGAATAGAAAAATTTAAGTGCTATACTGTTACATTCTAGACATTAAATAAGGGAATATTTAATATTCTTAATCTAAATTTAAACATAAAAGAATTTAGAATTTAGTCATGAAAACCATAAAAAAAAGGAACCATATGCTGCTACGTAGCTTTTCTTACTTTAAAAAACAGTAAAGTAGTAAGTTATTGAAAGATTTGTAAACTAGAAAACACTTTAAAACGTTCCGGCCCTGTAAATTTAATTTACATTCGTGTACTGACTAAAAATAAAATTTTGTTTACGTTGCGGATTCGGAGAATTTTATATAAAATTTTAATTTCGTGAATAAAATGAAAAAAAAAATTGCTAGAATAAAACAAACCGAAGAAGATTAGAAAATAAATGAGTTTAATAAGAAAAATGGTCTTTATTTATTACAGAAAATTTATGACATGTGAAATTAATTCGATAGTTATTATTAGTTTTCGGCAGTAGATATTTAATCAAAACGAAATTAAAATTAGCAATTGAATTTAGCGCATCGCTTTCTAGTAATTATTGCTAAATTAAACATCTGCGAATCGGAAGTTTTGATATTCATTTAGTTGTCAAGAAGTTGAGCAATTAGTATGAATCAAATTAACTTCATATAATCCTCATCGAGTTTCGCTCAAAATAGAAAAAAAAATTTTTCTCAAAATAGTTTATTTAATCATGTTTCGATTTATGACCGAGTCTATTGGAATATTCGGATATTTTGGCTAAGAGTTTCGCAAGATTCGATACAATGAATATTAACGAGAAAAGTTTTGTTAGTATTATTTGTTTCAAAAAATTGAAGTTTTGGTGTAGATGCTTACTAAAGTGTTCATTTTTCACTGCATTCCAGTACGAAGTAAAGTGCACTTCCTAGTCTAAAAATAACTAAAATGGTCGACATTTGGAGACAGTCGTGAAGAAAACAAATTATTTTCACACACAAAATTAGAGTATATTCGAATTTATTGTTAAATTTTCTTACTATTTTCAATGCTATACAGATATTTTATATAAAAAAAAGAAAGAAAATCGCTCTTTGGTTTGCTTTCAAACCAAAAATTGCTCTTACTATATAAAATTTTCAAAACACAGTTTACAAAATAACAAAATCGGATGAGGAAGAAAATAATATGCAAATAACTAGGAAGATTTTTCAACGAGATACAAAAATGTTTAAATATTTATAAGGTTATCAAATTCTTATCTGCGTTTGTTAGAACAAATTCTAAAATTGTTTTTATTCGAAATAGATCTACTCGAACACGGATTTATGAGAAGAGAGATGGGGGTGGGCAAAATTTGCTCGAGGTCTAGTGCTTACTCATCGCACGTATAGCGTAAGTTTAGGACATTATCAGTAGCGTAACTAGGGGAGACCCGAATTAGAACGTGCAAACCTCTGTATCACTGGATGTAGTCACTAACGCTATAAGCTCTTAATTAAATATTGTAGGCATATATGCATGTGTATAAATACGTTTGTCATATTTATTTATTTATAAAAGTAAAGGGACCCGATTCTCCTGATACTTCCTTGGTTACGCAACTGGAGGTTACTCAGACTCCCTAATTAAGCAAGCATTAGATTTGCTTAAATTCATTAATATACAGTACTCCAATATCTTACATTATATACCCAATAGCAGATACAGAAATCTTTAGAGGAGGGTGCAGAAAGGAAACAATACACCTTACACCCGAGGTAACACACCCTTCTGTGAGTTTTTTTCCGAGTAAAACGGGTACCTCGGGTAGTAAAATAATTTTATAACGGTTTGTGTAGGGATTTAGGAGATGTGTAAGGCGTTATAAAATAACGCCTTACACATCCCCTAAATCCGCTCTTAAATTAAGATTTTAAAGCATTGAGTATACTCAGACACCTCAATAACTTAATATGTATAAAATATTAACATATTCAGGCTCTGTGTTTGGCTGTTAAGGCTATGAGAGTATTGGGCCTTCGGGGATACTTGTTCACATCCCTCAAGCCGCAATACTCTCATTTATAAGCTGGAGAATTAAGACATTGGGCTTACTAGAGTGGTAAAAATAATGGTATATTGAAAATAACTCGTGTATATATAACGTTGAGCTTGACAAAACAAATTTTTTCATGATTATTATTTAACATTAACGCGAGAAGTAACCATCTGGTAACTATTAAATTCCGGAAGTACTTATGAGATAAGATATTTCTGACGAATGTTTCAATTTATTATCAACCTACCTTATCCTCACCGTCATTTATCTCATTTATTAATAACGCGGCTGGTTCTGTAACAAACCTTTTAATAACGTCATATACAGGAAGTGAATGAAAAATTTTTTCTGCTTTTTTTAAATCTCCGAATGTCATTTATTCTAAAATATAAAAATATTATTATTATTATTATTATTATTAAATCGCCATTATTGTTTAAAAGATTATAAATACAGTAAGTATAATCGTTTTATAAATTAAATAAATTTATTCTAACGAAAAATATTTAAATTTTTCTCTCTCTCTTTTTTTTTTTTTTGGATGAATTTTCCTGGAAACAGAATTTCACGTGATCTAATCTTTTATTATTACGTCACACGACTTTTCTCCATCACGTTTCCTGTAATTGTCCCATAGGAAAAGTATAAGAAAACGTGATCGAAGAATTTTAAGCACGATTTTCTTAAAATATAAAGTGACATTTTTATAATAATTTATAAAATTCGATTTATTTTTCTTCTTTCTTTCTTTATTTTATTTATTTATCTAATTTTTAATTCTATCTCTAACACGACATAAAGTGCATTTATTAAAAGAAATTAATATTTAAAACTAATTTAATTGTCAAATTTATTTATTATTATTTTTTAAATAAAAATACAGTACTTAATCTTTTCTCTAATACAATTAATATTTTAATCGCGTAAAATAGGTCAGGTAAACGTACTAAATAACCATAAGAGAAGACAAAGGAGAATTCAGAAATGGAAATACACTTAAATATAAATTAACACGTAAGAAAAATTTTTATAGAAAGATTTCAATCATTGGTAATTTTCATTTTATATTAAAGAATTCAGGCAAAAAAAAATATTTAAAGAATAATAAGTAATTTGCATTAGTTTAAATACTTCAAGTATGTCACGAACGAATAGCCTCATTCGAGAAAATGAGGCTAGAGAATGACGAGTCATGTAGAAGAATACAGTTTGAAACATTAAGAAGAGCCACTTTAGTAATTGTTGAGAGAAATTTATGAGATTGAAAATGTAAAGGGACTGCAAAACGTTAGCAGAATTGAGTTGATGCATTTCAATTAAATAAAGAAACTAACCGAGGAAAATTTCCTATTTTTTCCTTCATCATACCTACGATGAACGATGTTTAAATATATTTATAACGTGTAATCGGCTGTATAATAATATTGTTTTCGTTACAGTAATGATATTTTAAACATAATCCAATTTAGTTTATAAAAACTTTTACAAGAGTGATAATCGCTGGTGAAAAAAGAAAGGGGAAATAACTGACATCAATGGGAATTTACTTCAACTGCTTGGAACATTTGAAGGAACTTTTTATATAAAACCTACTTATTTTCTATCGCCAATGCTCACGAAATAGCTTCATTCACTAATGCTTGTAAAAAAAAAAATAATAAGGGAAAAATTCTTTATTTGGCCATAGAAAGCGAAGAAAGATTTCTGTTTAAACTCGTTACGAAATATATAAATTGTATTTATTCCATAAAATCTTAAAAGAGTTGTAAAATTTGATAATTTTGCGAGGGGAAACCTTAAACAATTTGCGGTTATATTTAAGCTTTCTTGCATAAACAATAATTGTGTAGTTTGATAGAAACCACAAATTAATTCCTCGTCGTCGATTATGACGAACTTCCACGTTCAGCTATAGAAACAACACTTTAATTAATTAATGGTAACATCAAGGAATGAATTAAGTTATATAAATCATAAATGTTTACTAAACTGAACTAAAATAAATCTCATACCGTGGATTAATTCGAAAATATAAAATATAAAATAATTAGGATACAAGATAATTGATTTCGACATAACTCTATTAAAATTCTAAATGGGTCACAAAACTTGCTATTCTTGTTAAATGTTTATATAATTTTTTAAATTTTTATTAAATGTTCTTTTTTAATAAATTAATGGAAAGAAAAATTTTTTAAAGATAATTTAGCTTAAATACAGTATTGAATAGAAGTGAAATAGTGTCAACAAGACCTACTTCATTCTATTGAATTGTTTTATTTCGTCCCCTAAAGGGCAGTTCGTTTCCTATTAATCTTTCATTATTCAAAAATATCTGTACATATTTTTATTTTTCTAATTTCTTGAGTGGGTGTTTACTAAATAAATTTAATAAGAACAGTGCCAAGTTAAATACCCTTAAGCGAGAAAAAGGCTAAGGCTATCTTATAATCTGTATTTATAAATATATTGTGCTACAACTAATCATTTTTTTTTTAGAAAATTTTCGAAAGATATTGCTATGAAATATTAGTTGAGAGTTCTTTCTCCTTTATTAGATCCGATGTCTTTGATAAATAAACTCATAATGCAGATTATTATAAAAGAAAAATAAGAAAAAGGAAAAAAACACGAAGAAAAATATTCCATAGAAATTTGTTGTTTATACTTTCTATAAAATTAAAAACGTTAATTCATACGTAGATTAAAATATAATCTGTAAAACTACACCAAAAAAATACCATTAATAATGCGTTTTGAAAAATAATAGCGGAAATTACCAGAAGTCGAATTAAAAAAAAGGGGTGAAAGTCAATAAATTGATACAAAGTTTTGAAAAAACGAAATAATTTTTTGAAAACATTTCGACTATCGATCAAGAAGTTGCTGTCAAAAGACATTTTTAAAAGAAAACTTCTGTTTGTTTCATATCTTAATTCACTATGCTTCAGTAAATAAACGTCTACCTTATTTCAATATCGAATTTTCAATAAATAAAAATATATTCGATTCGAAAAAAAAAATTCACTTTTACTTTCCTCAAAATTTATTTAATCTTTAGAATAACATATGTATACTGTAATCATTTATTTCAAAAGTTCTCTACAATAAGTTGATAAGAATCTATTATTAAATAAAAGTTAGGTTTATTGTTAAAGAAGGAAAAAGAGGGAAGAGAAATTACAAAAGTCTTCAAAAATCATTTTTAAAATATTCAAATTCAATTCATCCCCGATAAAAAATAAAATAAAATAAAAAAGTTTGTAGCATACAAATATTTATAAATCTTTCTTTATAAAAATGTATAAATATGCTTTAAAAAATCTATATTTATATGCTAAAAGTTGAAAAAATATTTTAGATAAATAAAACAAAAATTAAGTATTTTTTAAATATATAAGATAATATAAATTTGCTGTTTAGTAAAATATGAATTCTTAATGGAATTTTAATAGAATTAAATATGATACAAAAGAAAATCTATTTCAAATCTAAAATAAATAAACTATAAGAGACATTTTGTATTATAAAATTTAAACAATAAGATATATTTTATAAAAAAATAAAATAAAATAAGCGTAAGAATCATTTTTTAAAATTCAAAATTGAAGATGATCTATCCTGATTTTTACACATTGAAAGCATTGTGCTGTAATTGCAAAACAATGTTCTGTTTACCGATTTCACTCCAAAGTATAAATTATTTGTTTCTGAAAGAAAATTTTTTTCTTATTTTTTTTCTTTCTTTTTTGTCCTTAAGCTAGGTCAAACGTACCTGTTTTCCAACGAAATCTAATCGATTTACAATTGTTTAGGTCAGCAATAACATTTTGGTAGGAAAATTAATTAATAAAGTAAGTCTTGAGCTTAAAATAAATATTTAAACTGTTTTAATTATACAACAATATTTAATCTATCATTTAGAAATTTTAATTGGTTTAATTGTAAATATTTTACACTGTAGAAAAGAAAATTTAAATTAATGCAGGAATTCGATATTTGTGTGTTTACTTGTATATAATTTTATTGATTAATTATAAAAATTCTTAGGGAAACTTTTAATATTTTTCTAATTAATTATTTCTAGATAAAAAGTTATCTATAATAGTAATACAATTCTGTAGGGTAGTTTTGAATTTTTAAAAATACTTTGTTGCGTTTCTAAATTTTCAATCAGTAGAATAAATTGTTATTTTTGTTTGTTTCTTTTAAGCAATAAAATAAGAAGAAGAAGGGGAAAAAAAGATGTTTTGTACGTACTTTTGTTTCTCAGACGTGCAAAGTCCGTGTAACATAGCAGCTGTCCATGTCTCTAGTGCATTTGCGACAAACTCGTATAGTCATTCATCTTGCAGGAGACACTTTTAACTTTCCTGCTATTTCATCCGAAACAAAATACCCCAAAAATTTCACGTATGTAGGTGACATTTTGAATCCTTGAATATATCCTCGAAATAAATATTTTCTACTTACATAAAAATTTCATATTTTATCTTACTGTACATCCTTTTCGACGTTCTATATGTGCTCTATCTATCTTACATTTTCGTGAGTTAAAATTTATCGGTTTTGATTCACGACACGTAATTTTAATTATTTTATAAACAATTTTCACGTCTAGAGATTTAGATATCTTTTAAATCATTATGCTAAGTTGATTGCCTTTATAAATGCAAGAAAATTCAAGGACGATGATAAAAAAAAAGGTAAATAACTCCTACGTATTCCATGAAAAGTTGTATATAGTTTTCTGCGTTATTCGAGAGATTTAGAATGTGTCTAAGGTAAATTAGTTGTAAAGATTTCTAACTGAAATTTAATTTAGATGATTGACATAATACTTTATGGGAATAATATGTGTCAATTTAAAAATTTATCCACGCTGTTATTAATGGAAAGACAGCTCACTCTCTCTATAATAAGCACAATTGTCACTCCTACTTGCAAGAAGTGATTACATCAGAAGTGAATCAACAATTGGCATCAAACTCTTTATATAAGAGTCCATGCTGAAATTAATTATAATAACATTATTTAATAAATCAGTGTCACACAAAGATGTCATTAATCAAATATAGTTTTAAAAATGAGAATATTTTATATCAGTTTTGCTGATAACGAAATGAACTTTTTCTTTCTTTCTTTTTGTATTTTGACTTTAAAAAATTTCGATCTCGATGTTCGAGAATAAATTTCCTCGAGTTTCCATAAAAAATTTATTCAATAAGTTAGAATTTTTTTTTTTTTTACTAGAATATGTTTGAAGGAAGAAGCAGATTGTGGGGTCATTAGCGCCATCAGCTACAGTTCTCTTTATCGCTTGCCACAGACATGCAACGTGGGAATAATACAACATCCATTGACTCCCTGCGGATAATAATCGATATCGCCTAGCTTACACCTTTGAAGGAAGTTCAAATTACTGATATCAATAGCGTATATCTTCAATAGTATTCGCGTTTAATCAGATCAAACTACATCTTAAATATTGTTTCCTCCAGCGAATCTCGAGTGAAATGTTACAAAATAGATTTTGATAATAAAAAAAAAACAGAAGAAAGAATAAAAAAAAAAACTTTTCCAGAATCCATGTAACATCTGCTTGTGACAGAAACAGATGACGCCTACAAACGAATCACAATCTTTCATTACTTGTGTTAGCGCCTACTTTTCTCTCTCATGGTTTCTTAAAATGACATACTATTGCATAAAGTAAGTGATTCTACTTTTACCACTTTATTACTTTTTAGTTCTTTCTACCATTTTGAATTACATCTTCATCTTGTAAATCGATTTTAAAATACTTAAACGGGATATCTACTTCTGAATTACTATTGTTTTGTTAAATATTACACACACTTATGTATATTTTTAATCTAAAAATAATGATTTAAAATTTGTTTTGATATATATATATATATAT